AAGTAGAAACCGTAAATTATCCACTGCAATTTAAAATTTAATCTTTCAATGAAAAACAAACAAACAAGAAATCTAAAAAGCATAGAAAAACAGAATGGTGTCAGAAAAAGGTGAATTTGGAGTAGGGGAAAATCTCAAGCAAAACCAGCCGATATTTCTCTGATCAAAGGAGAAAAAGGGGAGCCCTCGGGGGCCTAATTAGGCTCAAATTGAGAGCCCGGGCTCACAGAAACGCAAAAAAACGAGATAAAAAATTGAGAGCGGAAAACTCTGCGCTGATTCTAGTCGGATAGATTTTTTGCAGATGTCAAAGCAGAAATATTTAGCATTTGATGGATTTATATATATAGATACTTTATTCAGGGCCTGAGATTGGAACCGTATTGGAACCGTATTAGATCAAAAAAAGAACCGGACTGGAGCCGTATTGGAACCGTATTGGAACCGGACTGGAACCGTATTAGATCAAAAAAAGAACCGGACTGGAACCGTATTGGAGCCGTATTGGAGCCGTATTGTGGAACCGTATTAGAACCGGACTGGAACCGTATTGGAGCCGAATAAGAACCGTATTGGAACCGGACTGGAACCGTATTAGATCCAAAAAAGAGCCGTATTGGAACCGTATTGGAACCGATAAAGTGCGCTAGATTTAAGATTAAATTGATATTGATAAAAGTCTTAAATTTAGAAGATAAGCTATAACTTTTTTTGAAATAAAGTTTTCAATAGATTTTACGTAAATATTTTGACCTCTATTTTAGACCAAAAAGAATTTCGAGTCGATAAGAGTGGGCCGTGATTCAATTTCAAAGCTCACAACTTTGTTAACATAAAAAAAGTGTTCAATCCATTTTTGAGATCTAGTTTTTGTTCAAAGAAACGAAAAGGAAATGTTTGAAATTTGTTTTAAATATAGTTATTGAGTTTTTAAATAAGTTTTAAATATGAAATCGTTTTTAAATAAGAAATTAACTGTATTAGTTGCATAATTTTCACTAAAACTGTTTAATTTACATAAGTTTCATATAAAAAGCTATTTCTTGAGCTGTGAATTCTTTGAATTTCTTGAAAAAGAAAATTTCTTAGTCAATTTCAGTCAGAGTGGGGTCAATTTCGAAGCTCAAAACTTCGTTAAAGTTAAAAAAGATTGAGTTTTGAGCCTGAGTCTGAGTAAAGATGAATAATTAGCTTTTGAAACCATCAAAACATACAAAATTTATGGATAAAATACATTTTTAAAAGCAAAGCAAGTAAGAAAAGCAAACATGTGAGTCGGTGTTAAAGAGTCGATGTGAGTCGGTGTTAAAGAGTCAATGTGAGTCGATGTCAAGATGCCTCAAGCAATCCATTTTAAATATAGTTATTGAATATCTTATCGTTTTTAAATAAGAAATTAACTGCATCAGTTGCATAATTTTCAGTAAAACTGTTTAATTTGTATAAGTTTCATATCAAAAGCTATATCAAAAGCTATCAAAAGCTATATCAAAAGCTATCAGAAGCTATATCAAAAGCTATCAGAAGCTATATCAAAAGCTATCAAAAGCTACATCAAAAGCTATATCAAAAGCTATCAAAAGCTATCAAAAGCTATCAGAAGCTATATCAAAAGCTATCAAAAGCTACATCAAAAGCTATATCAAAAGCTATCAAAAGCTATCAAAAGCTATCAGAAGCTATATCAAAAGCTATCAAAAGCTTCATATCAAAAGCTAAACTTATTTCATAAGTTGTAAGCTGTGAATTCTTGAAAAGTAAAGCTCAAAAACTATGTTTTAAAACAATCAATATGAATAAAATACATTTTTAAAAGCAAACTCTAAATCTTAAACTTGTCGATGTTAAAGAGTCGATGTGAGGCGATGTCAAAGAGTGCCTCAAGCAATCCATCAAACGGAAATGTGAAGAGAGGCGTTTTTCCCCCGTTTCCCCGCAAAGAGATTCAGAATTCCGAGGGGAAATTGATGAAAAAAAAGCGAAAGCATTGAATGAATACATGAAAATTTGAGGATATTGAAGAAAGAGAAGTGAAAAGAAAAACTAAGCAATTAGGAGAAAGCATGGAAACGAATCTATGCTTATTTCTTTTCTATTTTCATTTAGCGACTAATTTCTTTAATAGAAATACACCAGTTTATCAATTAAAGAACCAAAGCTAAGTCAACAACAAGCCAACCCCAAAGCCAGACCAGGGCAAGAAAGAAGCCAAAGCCAAAACCAAGACGATGAAAGGCTTTGATCTGGCTGAGTCTTACAACTCTTTAACATTCTTTAAACTTACAAGAGAACATTTTCTTGAACTTGGCCACTAGTTATCCAAGTTTTTCAAGCCACAAGTTTTCCAAGCCACAAGTTACCCACTAGTGGATTGGTTACGAGTAGGCTGAGACTTGGATAGACTTGGATAGGCTGAATAGATGAGGTTACGGAGGTTGAAAGAAAGAGAAGTGAAAAGAAAAACTAAGCAATTAGGAGAAAGCATGGAAACGAATCTATGCTTATTTCTTTTCTATTTTCATTTAGCGACTAATTTCTTTAATAGAAATACATCAGTTTATCAATTAAAGAACCAAAGCTTAGCTTCAGAAAAAGTCATTTAAATCTCTTTTTTGTCCAATTTTACTTTAAAACTTCACCTTTTAGGTTTAAAAATTGAATTTCGAAAATTTTGAGGAAAACGCTGGATTGGATTTAGGCTTAGGCTTAGGACAAGGACAAGGGAATGATCCAAATTTAAATTCAAGCTAAGCTTGGAGTTAAGCGCAGATCTTTAAAAGAGTAGAAAAGATTGAGATCAATCAGGGTAAAGAAGAAATTAAGAAAGCTAAGAATTAGAAAAACTATGACTAGAAGAAGCTCATTAAATCTCAAAGGTTTTGTCTTTGAAAGACAAATGATTATGCTCAAATTTTGGCAACTAAAGAAAGAGCTAGCTGGATATAATTTTAGAATATCTGTGCCAATGTGAAGGATGTGATTGAAGAACCAGCAGCAGTTCCACAAGCAGTTCTACTCCAAACAATTGGCAAGCTAAAGCTGTATCTCGAAAGAATTAATGAAAATCTAGAAATCTTCAACTATTAAAGCAATATCATCAAATTGGAGAATCGAATTTTTAAGAAAACTTTGAAGATATTGAAGAATTGAAGAGTAGTGCAAAGAGAAAGAGTGAAGGGGAAAGCGCGTCAATAATAGCCCCATGGGAAGGAGTTTGGGAAGGAAAAGAGTGGAGAAGAAAAGCTTGAGGTGGAGAAGAAAGTGGAGAAGGGGAATGAAGTTCTAGAGACCCTAGAGGGGTCTCTGGCAGTTAAAAGCAAAGGATGGATGGGGGACCCTGCGTGTGGGGGAAAGCCGGCACCCCCCTTTCTCCAGTATTGATGTTGGGTGGAGACTGGGCGTTTCGCGGAGAGGAGGCTGAGGTCCCTAAAGACAGACAAAGCCCAGGGCCAAAAGAAACAGGTGCACTGAATGCATTGAGCCTCTCTCTCTCTCTCCGACAACTCATGACCAAAGAATTGCTTTCTTTATGTGCACACATTTGATGAGCGGTGAGTAATTGATGAGAAATGGATTTTTGATGACTTTTGTCATTTGGTTAAGTCGATCAGATCAAAACTTGAAGCCAGTGATTTCAGATTTCAGAGGTTCAAATCTAAATCAAAACTTTTTGAAGAAATGTCTCATTCAGAGCAGATTTAGCTTAATTTTTATGAAAATTAATTACCCAAGTAGATCTTAAAATTGAGCTAATTTTGGCTGTTGCAGGTGCTTTTCTATTCTCTTCAAGGAATCGATCAAGATGCTGGCTATAGTTGATTGTAATTTGTTTACAAATTCACATTTCTCAATAAAGTTTTGGCCTTAAACTTTGACAGCTCGAAAATCCATTTCTTTCTTTATCCATTGAGGCCCGTTCAGCGAATCGCTCAATCATTGATAAATCACAACAAACGAGATGAGAAATGAGAGAGAAAAGAAAGGAAAATCTCAAAGAATTGTGGTTACACAGTGGAAAACAGGGAATGGAGAGGGAGAAAGGCTTGAGCAGAGGCTAAGTCTGACACTTAAGAATTGGGCTTAGACTCAGGCTATGACTCAGGCTAAGACTCAGGCTCAGGCCCAGGCCCAGGCTTAGACTCAGGCTTAGACTCAGGCTTAGCCTAAGCTTAGAACCAAGCTCTACACATTTCAAACCACAAATCCTGTTCTTATTGCACCGTATTCTTTATTTCAATCCTTATTGTAGTCAGTGTTAACTGTAAGCAATCATTTACTTCAAATTCAAGTTTAGATCAATTTTAGGAATGATATTTTCAGGTAAAAACCTTGTGATCGACTTGCTCATGTATGCTTGAACAGAGGCTAAGTCTGACACTTAAGAATTGGGCTTTTGACAGTGACAAGTTGACAATAAGTTGACGTTCTACTTTCAGCAGCTAACGAAAATAGATCTTATAACAGATCTTTGTCTTATTCTAAGCTTCTGTTATTAGAAAAGTCAGTCAGCTTGTAACTCTACTAATGTATAAGTGTTTTGTTAGAATTGTTCAATTGCAGTTAAGCAAAAGTTTCTTTTATAGAACAAGTGAGATACTTTTTGTCATAGTTTTCACAAAGAAAGAAGATCTTTCTCATGTATGCATATAAAAGTGTTCTTTCTTTAATCCTTCGATCTTTTCTCACTAGCTAGCTTTTTTTAGAAAGACGAATCAAAAGATTAAATCCAAAAAAGCTTAAAATTCTTTATCTTTAACTGTCAGAAAGCCTCTGATAAACTCAGAATCAAAATCAATTGAAAAAGAAGAATCAAAGTGAGCCAGAAAAGCTGTGTTTTAAGCATAAAGTACACGAAGACGGCCTGCCAGGAGTTCATCTTGTAAACGCCCCACCTGGGGCAAGAATCCCTCTAGTTCTTGATTTTATGATTGCTTTATATTTCAAACATTCAATACAATAAAACAAAAATATTATTAAAATTCAAAACATTTTCAAAACTAATGATGGTGCTCAGCTCCAGCAGCAGCCTCTGCAGCCAAATGTTCTGAATGAGCTACGGCCTGTGATGGGGGAAGCGGGATTCGGAGAAACTCCAACAAGTGACGATCATCTAAACAATGAACATCTATTGGCTTTAAAATCTTGTTATTGTTGTTATTGTAATTGTTAAATCAATATTGTTCTCTACCTGGCATAATCTCTCGTTCAGCCCATTCCTCGCCTTCTCCCAGTAGCTTCTCCAAAGTGATTGGATCATCTAAAACGTTTATTCAGTTTTCAGCTGATTAGATATACCGTATTTTCTCTAATAGTAGTGCACTCCGGCTAGCTGAGTTGGTGATGATTTTACAGTTTCCAAGCTTTTGCAGAAGCTCAACACTCAAATCCCCCACTAGATCCCATCGTCAGCTACATTTTCCGACCCCACATCGATAGGTTCTGATAAGCGGTTCTCGAGATTTCAACCAATTTAGGCAAAGCTTAGGTTGCACTACTATTAGAGAAAATACGGTATATAAAAAGCAGTTTATTGGCAAGATACTTGAACTAGGATTTATAATATCTATTAGAATTATACCGTATTCTCTCTAATAGTAGTGCACCGCAGCGAGCCGAGTTGATGACTATTTTACGGTCTCCAAGCTTTTGCAGAAGCTCTAAACTCTAATCCTCCACTAGATCTCATCGTCAGCTACATTTTCCGACCCCACATCGATAGGTTCTGATAAGCGGTTCTCGAGATTTCAACCAATTTAGGCAAAGCTTAGGTTGCACTACTATTAGAGAAAATACGGTATATAAAAAAGCAGTTTTATTGGCAAGATACTTGTAACTAGGATTTTATAATATCTATTAGAATTATACCGTATTCTCTCTAATAGTAGTGCACCGCAGCGAGCCGAGTTGATGACTATTTTACGGTCTCCAAGCTTTTGCAGAAGCTCTAAACTCTAATCCTCCACTAGATCTCATCGTCAGCTACATTTTCCGACCCCACATCGATAGGTTCTGATAAGGAGTTCTCGAGATTTCGAGGAATTTAGGCGACGCTCTAGGTGCACTACTATTAGAGAAAATGCGGTACATGAAAAGGACCAATCAGAAGTTGAAAGTTTGTTTAAATTTTCTTACAAATCTTAAGTTAAACAATTAAACAGTTACCGTATTTTCTCTAAAAGTAGTGCACCCCGCCGAGTTGATGACTATTTTACGGTCTCCAAGCTTTTGCAGAAGCTCTAAACTCTAATCCCCAACAAGATCCCATCGTCAGCTACATTTTCCGACCCCACATCGATAGGTTCTGATAAGCAGTTCTCGAGATTTCAACGAATTTAGGCAAAGCTTAGGTTGCACTACTATTAGAGAAAATACGGTAGATATAATATATGCCTTCATCCACGTCGTGAGCCAATCCATGCAAGTCAACCATTTCAATAGCTGTGTGTCCACCAGCTGCTGGCTCATCATTGTCCTCTTCGGGCTCATGTCCGCCAGCATGGTGAGCGTGAAGATGTTCTCCTCCCATAATGTGAGGAGATAAAATCTGAATATAAATTGATCTCTTTAGATTAGTTACTGCTAGAATTGTATTCAAAAATTCACTTCAATCATCAACCGCTCCCTCTGCGCAATTCTTGGTGATAAAATATTTGGACTTAAAACAGTTATTCCCATGTTATCTGTGCCGCCAATATGTGGACCAAGAACATCTAGAAAACTGTCTTCACCTAGATAAGAACTACAAACTTGGAGATAAGATTGAAACAAATGATCCAATTGGTGACAAAACTCGTGGCTCAAGAAATCTAGAATGAAAGAAAGGTTAGGAATAGGATTTAAACAAACGTTGGTGTTAGCACATCAGCGACAAAGCCTTCTGGAGAGAGTACCCAAGCGGTGAGAGCTCTCGGGGCAAGGACCTGCAAGTATTCGAGTAATTCGGATCAAGTTTTGCTAAAGAGTAGAACAAGAAGATAGCTTTTACCTCAAATTTGAAACCCATTGGACTAAGGACTCGGGTGATGAGGGCGCCGGGTGAAAGGACAACAGCGGCAAAGGCTCGAGGTGACAAAACGCCAAGCTAAATGAAGAGCTGCAGAAGATGATGCTTTTAAGATTTGAATAATCTATGGCTTCGAAAATGAATACCACAAGAAGCTCTGGTTGAAAGATCTCTAATGTGAAGGAACTTGGGGATAGAACAAGGACTTCGAGATAGGCGTCAGTTCCTAAAGTTCTTTCAGACTTTTCCTTGTGAAATCAATCTCCACATTCAAGTTTCAACTTTTTACCTGATAGAACATCAAAAGCATATGGTCTAAGCACTTCATAAAGGATTCCATTTGTTCGATTCGTAAAACCTGGTGGTCCTTCTTCAGGTGATGTTCGTTTCTATGCAGAGGTTTAAGTAAAAAGGTTTAAGAGTAATCAGCATTCATTTAAATGCAAATTTGTATAGCAAACATAAGAGTTGTAAAGATTTAAAGATCTAAAGATTTAAAACTTTAAAAAACCTTAAAGTCATTCTTCAAAACTCACCACCCGGAGTTGTATGGGATTCGGGGGGATCGGACCAGTCGAATTATCAATCACAAAAGCCTCTAAAGATTTAAAGCTTTAAAAAAACCTTAAAGTCATTCTTCAACACTCACTTTCTTCAACAATCTCAGCATTCGTTTCATTCAAATTCTTTCCCAAATAAAGCATATTTGAAAGTAGAAACTCGACCCTTCTTTCCCTTCCTTCTTCGTCCAAATCCCCATATTCATTGAGATCAAACGGGAGTTCCTGGGAAACTGTAGCTTTTGGTGTTTCTAGATCAACGTTTTGTCAGACTAAACTCACATTTATTTTTCCGATTGTAGACAAGTTGAATTTGTTGGGGAGTCATATGCGTGTAGCCATAGTGAGTCATTTCACAGCGTTGTCTAGAATAGATGCTTACAGAAAAAGTCAAAAAGGTTTTCCGTTTGCGTATTTGAATCTTCAGCTAACTAATCTTTTGTCTTTCTAATCGCTGATCCCTGATCTAATCCCTGATCTCTGATCTAATCCCTGATAAGTTTAAGCTTTAAAGTTCAAACGAAAACAAGAATGAATCTAAAGTGTTAAAGTTGGGCAAACTATAGAACCGAGGACTTTGTGAAAGTGAAAAGTGTTTTTAATCGAAAACCCATTTGAAATCCTGCATACTCTATCAGTTTTTCTCTCAAAATCCTACCTTGAATTCATCAATTTCCTCGCTTTCACCCAATTCAACGTGTGACTCGCCAGCTCGATCATATCTGGATAGACTTCTTCTCGAATTTGCCTAAAATTGAACTACTTATTTTATTAATAAAGTACATTTTTTTAAAGTTATTGCAATTTTGACTTGAATGACCTAATTTCAGGAGCCATGCCGGCATAAATATGTCGAATCGCTTTCCCAGCTCCAGAAATTTCAATCAGAAATTTTGCCATTGATAAATTAATCGCTCCTTTTGCCTAAAATCTTTCCTTTTCGTTTTTGCGTTGCTATTAGTACTTTTCCAAGATCATTCAGTGATAGAATTCCTCCAGATCGTAGGGCAAATATTCTTGGTGATAGAATATCGGAGTATTGCTGATTGGAGAATGAGAAGAATCGGGGTGAGAGGACGGAAGCTGTTTGAAATTTGCTCTTGCTCTTGGGTGGGCCAGAGGAGCTGCTTTTCTGAATTTTGATTTGAGACTCAAATATTGGATCACATTTTGCTCAAACAAACAATAGGAATCGTAAGATCAAGACTTGAAGATCAACTTGGCAATTGGCCGTAAAGTGAGGCTTTGGCTTGTAGTGACTGCCAAGTATCATAACCCTGGTTTACTTTGTTTCTAAATTTTTTTGGGCCCGCTCAGATGAGCAGTCGGATACCCGTTCTCCTCTCGGAGTCGGGGCGCGGTCATCAGCGGGGACGAATCATTCGATTCATACACCGTTCTTCACGCTCTCCGGCTGCCCATTCCCAATCATCGCGGGTGCAGGGTGTTGCAAGATTGTGGGTAAAGCGAAATACACACTACAGAAATGATCCTGTGAAGTATGATTTCGGTGATACGGCGAAAAAGGAGAGCTATGTAGTGAGGACGTGTGCCAGAAAGCGCGCGATTACGCGGCACCATCAAGAACACAAAGAGAGCGTTCGACAGAGGGAAAAGGGGAAAAAATAATGGGAAAAGGATGTTAAATCTTCAATTTAAAACTTTATAATGGACAAAAATTTGCCAGTTTTTTGTTAATAAGTTCTTTTTTACATTTTACAACTGTAAAACGTGCTTTAGCTTAAAACTTACCGCATATTTGCCCATTCTTGAGAGTGCCGAGTCCAAGAGTCGCCTTTTCGAGGTCAATTTTGGCGCTAACATCTCAATATTTTTGTCAATTGATTGAATGAGCTAAAAGTTTTTTCATTTTTTAATATTTAACATTTAAAACATTTACATTTGAGTTCTCTTTTGTCACCATTTTCCAAAAAGAATTGATCTTATCGATTCGTTTCTCGTGTTCATCGATTTCAGCGATCATTTGAAAGACATCCATTCCAAAATGATCATAAGCTGAAAGATTTGATTTTAAAGTAGCTTTAAAATAGCTTTAAAGTAGCTCTAAAGTAGCTTTAAAGTAGCTCTAAAGTAGCTTTAAAGTAGCTCTAAAGTAGCTGTAAAGTAGCTTTAAAGTAGCTCTAAAGTAACTTTAAAGTAGCTCTAAAGTAGCTTTAAAGTAGCTTTAAAGTAGCTTTAAAATAGCTTTAAAATAGCTTTAAAGTAGCTTTAAAATAGCTTTAAAGAGCTTTAAAATAGCTTGGGAATCAGTTATTTTAATAGTTTTTATAGAAAACAGACCAAAAATTCGATTAAAAGTTGAAAATTTCTTGAAAACCGAATTTATCAACGGTAAATATGACTTTAAATAAGTTGAAAATCATTTCTAGAAACAGCAAAACGTTAATTAAATCATTTTCTTAAAGATCTTTTAAAATTATTTGTTAGTTAAGCTTACCTTAATGAAATCTCTTCAAAAAAAACCTACTTTCCGGCATTTTCCTCAACTCCTCAGCCGTGATTTCTCTCTTCATCCTTTTCTCATTCTCTCTATAATGATCAGCCAATAATTTCGATAGATGTATTTCCAATTTCTTTCTTTTTCCAGATCTCTTTCCATTGTAAACCCTCCGAATTCTCATCGGTCGACTTTTGATCAAGAATTTCCGCCGAATTCTGTGCATATTTAAAGTTTTCGATGGTCGATGAAAAAGTCGTCGAAATTTTAGCTTTATCTTTTGAAAGATGGTCAAGGGTTTTGGTTGTGGAACTGCTTGTGGAACGGCTTGTGGAACGGCTTGTGGGACTGCTTGTGGAACTGCTTGTCGAAATGCTTGTCGAACTGCTACTGGTTCTTCAATCACATCCTTTACATCGGCACAGAGATTCTAAAATTAGATTGATTTGTGGAGAGTCTTCATTTTTCACCTCACTTGACCAAGACTGTGCCTAATTATAGATTTGTAAAATGCATTTCTAAAACGATCTGTTTGCTAACTCATAGTTAGACTTAGCAATGAGATACACTTATCAGTTATCAATATTTGTAAAGAGTTATAGATATATGCCTTGGCCATTCAATTATAGAGATTTGTAAACATCAAAAGACTTATGATGCTGTAAGCTCTCAGTCTGCAGTAATTTGAAATGAAAAGTAATCAGCTTACAGGTCGGATTACAGTAAAAGTAATCTTAATTGAAGTTAAATTTATGCAATATCACTTGGCACTTTTTCAGAATACTGTAATAAGACAAGACTACAATATTCTAATATATTCTTGGCTTCTAGAGCATTGTGATAGAGCCGATCATTTATAGAGTTTTTTTTTGGAAAGCTTAAAGGTTCTATTTAATTGAAATGTCATTGTTGATCAGATATGCATTTTAAAATGCAAAACAATACTAGTTAATGCAAGAGTGTTTTCCTCGCGAGTAATGCGTTTTTTAAAACGAACATTTGGGAAACAATTACCGTACTTTTAGAGAAAGTTATTTAAAATTGCGGGAGTGGGACAAATGCGACCTTTTTTGAAGAAAGAAAGAGAAAGAAAGAGAAAGAAAGAGAAAGAAAGAGAAAGAAAGAGAAAGAAAGAGAAAGAAAGAGAAAGAAAGAGAAAGAAAGAGAAAGGAAAGAAGAGTAAATAATGAGAACAGTTTCTATTGTCAATGAAAATACAGAAAGTTTGTTTTTTTTTAGAAAGTTTACAGGTTCTATTTAATTGAAATGTCATTGTTGATCAGATATGCATTTTAAAATGCAAAACAATACTAGTTAATGCAAGAGTGTTTTCCTCGCGAGTAATGCGTTTTTTAAAACGAACATTTGCGAAAAAAAATTACCATACTTTTAGCAAAAATTATTGCAAAAAAATGACGCAAAAATGACGAGCCCCGTGGATTATATGCGACACTTTTAAAAGATACTCAGCCGTTTAACTGGTTTGGTGGGAAATTCCCTTCCAATGTAAAAAATTATGTTTTTTTGAAAAACCTCTTTGAAAAAAAAAACATAAATGTAGAGATTTTAGTCTAGTTCTTGTCACAATCTAAACTGAAACTAATCCAAAAATCAAATGCTTCAAACAATCTCAGCGTCATTAATCAGTTTATAGCCTATAGATGAGACTTGTCTCTAGAGACTTTCTCAGGGCTATTATCAGAGTTTACGCTTGGATAAGCTTCATGAAAAAAGAGCAAATCAAATCTCTTTTGACCATTTGATCTAGATTTGAGAGAGCATTTGAACAAGGTTGACGGGTAAATGATGGGATTGGAATGCATTGAAAGCTTGAGTAGAATAAGTAGACTAACAAAAAGCTGATTTGAATTCGAAAGGTTAAATTTGGACAAACACTTACTCTTACTGATATGATAAATCTAAATTTAAAGTTAAGCAGTTAAATTAGACCTTGAACTGAGCTCCAGCAGCGTCTCGCTTTTGTAAAACCGTTTCAAGGCATTGTATCCGATCAAGTAACGTTTTTGCCTCATCAAGACATAAATCAGCCAGAGCTGCATCGAGTTTTGAAAGATGGACTTTCTCTCGATTGAGTTTTGCCTAAAGAATCTTCATTGATAATTGAATTGGATTTAAATTTACCTTAATAATCGACCTCATCAACACATTATGCCAATAAGCAACTACTGAAGTTCGATTAAGTTCAAAATATTGATTTTGATCCGGTCTATTGATGGGTTTAGTTCTTGTTGAGTTGAGAATATTACGTTTTAAATCAAGGGAATTGTTGAAAGATCCAAGAGTGATGAAGAGAGAAATGACGATCACTCGCCAGAGTACATTGGGCATCAGGAGGTTGTGGGCTTGTTTAAAGGTTGGAATGGATAAGGAATCGCTAGATATTAAATAGATCCAATATTTTAATAGATAAATGAATTATTTAACCGAATTAATTGACGATTCTCAATGATGAACGTTTGAAATGATTTCCGATCGAGATTTTTCAAGGCTGTTCCTTCGATTTCGACTTTATAGAGGCGATGAAAGATTAAGAAGATTTTCTAGAATCACAGAGAAATCAGATGTGTTTTTGAAATGACGATTGCCTAGAAAATGTGCAATAAAATCGAGAAAAGCGGGGAAATAAAGGGACGAGATTGGGATTGGTTTCATTGCGAGAAGGAGATCGAGACTTTCAAGGATCTCTTTTGTCTTATCCTTTTCTCCTTAGCTAGAGATTAGTTTTTTTTCTACCTAAATCCGATAGATTTTCTTTGATCTCTTGGCCTTGGAATGGTCAGAATCAGCTCAAATTTGAGATTCTAGAGAATTCTAGAGTTCTATAGAAGTCTAGAGTTCTAGAGAATTCTAGAGTTCTATAGAAGTCTAGAGTTCTATAGAAGTCTAGAGTTCTAGAGAATTCTAGAGTTCTAGTGGATTCTAGAGTTCTAGAGAATTCTAGAGAATCCTGAATCGTTTCTTAAACTCTAATTTGTAAAAAGATTCCCTTTTTAAGTCTTTGTAAGTCTTCTTCCTTAACACTTTCCTTTTAAATTCTTCATTTATTCAAATCTTTAATATCAAAAATGTATTTGAAAGATAAATGAAAATATTTAAAAAGGAATTGTCAATTACTTTTTAATAAAAAGTTTTCTCAGATTACGGATTAACTCTTTTTAACGAGTGCAACAAAGAGAACACGCTCGTATTGTATCCGATCAAGTAACGTTTTTGCCTCATCAAGACATAAATCAGCCAGTTGTGAGTAATAATCGCATTTCGAAAGATGACTCGGCACAGGCTTTCACCGAAATTTGGTACAAATTTTGATGAAAAAGCGAACGAGAAATGTGAAGTGAAATCGATTTCAGTTTAAAAGATTGTCTATTCTTTTTCTGATTATCTTTCCATCTTTCCTCCATCATATCACTCTCGATCATCAAAGCTTTGATGATTCCAATGACCGTAAAAACGAGTCTATCAAAAGAAATCCTTTAAAAAGATCTCAACATCACTCTCAGCATCACTCTTTTCCCAAACACGTGCCATTTATGAACGCTTGTTTTACTTGAATGATTTGAAAATGAATATAAAACTTTATTCCCCTGAAATTTCAGAACAATTTTAAAAATGGGCTTTGATTTGGTGACATGGAGAATACCCGAGATCACAATGAAAGCGACTAGATATGCAAGAAATTAAACAAATAAAATAAAGCAAGTAATTCGACTCCTAGAAATTCAACAACTATACAAAATAATGAATATTTTTCTAAACTAACTAAGAATCAATTAAAATCTACAGATGCGTGGTTGGTTTATAAAATTGCCTAACAGTTTTGTCCATTCCGATTTCGACAGCCGAGTCGATGGGATGAACAATGAATGGAATAACGCCAAGTCCGATAAAAGTTGTTGTCCATTTTTGAATTGAAACAGGCAAGCGGGTGGATCTGAAAAGAAGATTTTGTATGGGAAATCATTTACCCGTCAACCTTGTTCAAATGCTCCCTCAAATCTAGGCCAATTTAGCAATTCAAATTCAAATCAGCTTTTCGTTAGTCTACTTATTCTACTCAAGCTTTCAATGCATTCCAATCCCATCATTTACCCTTCAACCTTGTTCAAATGCTCTCTCAAATCTAGATCAAATGGTCAAAAGAGAGATCGAGACATAATTTCAAATTTTCTCCCATCTCAGACGTTGATTTGATCTTTTTTCATTAAGCTTATCCAAGCGTATTAGCATAATGTGTTGATGAGATCGATTATTAAGGTAAATTTAAATCCAATTCAATTATCAATGAAGATTCTTTCGGCAAAACTCAATCGAGAGAAAGTTCATCTTTCAAAACTCGATGTAACTCTGGCTGATTTATGTCTTGATGAGACAAAAACGTTACTCGATCGGATACAATGCCTTGAAACGGTTTTACAAAAGCGAGACGCTGCTGGAGCTCAGTTCAAGGTCTAATTTAACTGCTTAACTTTAAAAAGACTAGATTTATCATATTAGTAAGAGTAAGTGTTCGTCCAAATTTAGCCATTCTAATTCAAATCAGCTTTTCGTTAGTCTACTTATTCTACTCTAGCTTTCAATGCATTCCAATCCCATCATTTACCCTTCAACCTTGTTCAAATGCTCTCTCAAATCTAGATCAAATGGTCAAAAGAGATTTGATTTGCTCTTTTTTCATGAAGCTTATCCAAGCGTAGACTCTGATAATAGCCCTGAGAAAGTCTCTAGAGACAAGTCTCATCTAAAGGCTATAAACTGATTGATGACGCTGAGATTTTTTGAAGCATTTGATTTTTGGATTAGTTTCAGTTTAGATTGTGACAAGAACTAGACTAAAATCTCTACATTTATGTTTTTTAGAAGCTAACTTGAAGCATTTTTTGAACAAATTTGCTAGGGTTTGAGCTCACCTTTTTAGCAATTCCCCTGTGAAATAGCAAACTCGATTGATTGTGAAACCGGGGATTGCAACCGAAGCCAATGCTTGCCAGAGAAATGTATCCGCTGCTGCAATACCTACTTGCTTTCTTCGTTCTTCGACAGTTGGCCAGGTTTTCTGAATTGAAAATGATTGAGTTTATAATTTGAGCTATTTCACTATTAGTAAACAATTCTATTTGAAATATAATAGGTATTCTAGTTTAAAGGTACGCACTTTGCATTACTAGCTGCATTACTAGCATTACTGCATTACTAGCTCTTGCTGCTATCTTTCAAAGTCAGTAAGTGTAGCGACTCTACTAATAATTTATCAATATGCATACAAACAATAGGCTAACTTGTCGTAGAAGATTGAAAGCTAATGGATAAAACCGTAAAGATCACCTTTTAAAAGCTTCAACAATCCTTTTGCAGCTTCTATTTTTACTAATCTTGTAGGTCAGTCTCAAGTTTCTCCCCGTTTGTTTGTTTTATTGTTTTTATCTATATAATTAACCAAGTTTAAAGTCCGATAAACTGTTGTCGATTGTCAATCCAGCCTAATCAAACAAGAGTATACCGTAGTATACCTAATAGTAGTGCGCACTACTATTTTTTTCAACCCCCTCCTGGACCGCAATACTATTAAAGAGTGCACTACTATTAGAGAGGATACGGTAAGCTATCTGGATATCAGTATTTCAAGCGATACACAAAACCCTCTCATTTCAACAGTAAGCTGTTAGTTGATAGTAGTCGCTAGATTTAGTTCTATTAATACTCTTACCTTGTGTTCTTTTCGGCTTTTATCAAGCGCATCAGCAGTTGCGTATCCTAACGCTATCACATAAGTTGCCTTGACTGCTATGATTGGAAGCATCGATCGAAACGCCTCACCAATCTCGTTTGCATAGCCTGAATGAAAGAAAGAAATTACAAATGAACAAATGAACAAGTTTTAAGCATATCATTGTTATTTCTACCCAAATATCGAATCGGTGTATCTCTGTAGAGATCGATCTGTTGCAACTCTCTTTGTTGTTTATCGAAAGAGTTCTCATTTGTGGGCGAATCAGACATTTCTGAAGTATTAGGTAAATGCATAAGAAATCCGGATTTCAACATTTTCATAAATTTCCAACGATAGAAAGATGATATCGATGAATTTTATATACTATTTATTTCCATCCATAGAAAACTGATATCGATGAATGTTATGTTATAAATGTTATAAACTATGTTATAAACTATAAACTAAATAATGTTATAAACTATTTGAAAGTTGTAAATCTCCTCTATAAAACAGGCTAAAACATGTTTCAATTGATCGAACGATTGAAGAAATTTCGAGGGCGAAATGCGAGTGAAGGAATCGAACCAAAAAAGGAATCGAGTCACTTTAGGGACAAGTTTAGTGTGATCAAAATAGAGTTAGCTTTCCAAAATTAAAGATTTTTATAAAAGAATCAATTCATTCAATAACTATATATCAATTCATCTCGGCAAAAGCACCGAATTCATCAATGGCTCTAAATTAGAATCAAAATCTAATAAACAAGATCAGATTCGAATAAAACTATTTTGTTATATCATGTATTAGGTAAATGCATAAGAAATGCGGATTTCAACATTTTCATAAATTTCCAACGATAGAAAGATGATATCGATGAATTGTTTTGTTATAAATTTTATAAACTATTTGAAAGTTGTAAATCTCCTCTACAAGATAGCCTAAGACGTGTTTCAATTGATCGAACGATTGAAGAAATTTCGAGGGCGAAATGCGAGTGAAGGAATCGAACCAAAAAAGGAATCGAGTCACTTTAGGGACAAGTTTAGTGTGGTCAAAATAGAGTTAGCTTCCCAAAATTGAAGATTTAAAAAAAAGGATAACTATATATGAATTCATTAACAAGATCAGACTCGAATAAAACTATTTTGTTATATCATGTATTAGGTAAATGCATAAGAAATGCGGATTTCAACATTTTCATAAATTTCCAACGATAGAAACATGTTATCGATGAATGTTATGTTATAAATATTATAAACTATTTGAAAGTTGTAAATCTCCTCTACAAAATAGGCTAAAACTTGTTTCAATTGATTGAAAGATTGAAGAAATTTCGAGGGCGAAATGCGAGTGACCAAAAAAGGGCACTTTTTGAAAACCCCACTTTCACAAGAGTTCGGCTTTGACTATATAGTGGAAAATGACCGGAAAATATCATTCAAAATAATTAAGAGTTCGGATCATTTCATGGAAAAACTTTGTTTTTACAATAATTTTTCTTTTTTGTGAAAAAGCCGGGTTTTTTTTGAGAATTTAGAGGGTTTTGAACTTACGCTCTATCTAAATTTCTGTGGATGCATTTCCGTTAGACTTTTTTTAATCAATTCATATATAGTTATCCTTTTTTAAAATCTTCAATTTTGGAAAGCTAACTCTATTTTGACCACACTAAACTTGTCCCTAAAGCGACTCGATCCTTTTTTGGTCACTCGCATTTCGGGCTCGAAATTTCTTCAATGCTTCGTTCAATTGAAACAAATTTTAACCTATTTTGTAGAGGAGATTTACAACTTTCAAATAGTTTATAACATTATTTAGTTTATAGTTTATAACATAGTTTATAACATTTATAACATAACATTCATCGATATCAGGCTTCTATCGTTGGAAATTTATGAAAATGTTGAAATCCGCATTTCTTATGCATTTACCTAATATATAAAAATATTAAAATTATCAAAAAGATCTTTAAAAAAATCCTTTAATTTGATAAGCTATCATTTTAACATTGAAAGAAATGCTATTTGCAAACAGAATCTTCTTTTTCAGTGTTGTTTGGCGGATTTTGGAGCTGAAAAATGGGGTAAAAGAAGAAACCCTTCAAACCGAAGCTATTCTAAAAGGTTTATATCAAGAAATTTCAAACAAAATTAAATAAACTGAACTAGCTTTAGGTCCAGAAATTCAATTTTACAATCAATTTCAAGCTAGTTTTTTTAAAGCTGACTTTAAGAATTGTTTAAGGCGCCTTTCAACCTTTAAATACGAAAACACAAAACAAAACGAGTGACTAATCAAATCGTTACAAAACTGTAGATAAAAATATTCAAAATAGATAGCAACCCCACCCAAAAAATTTACACAAAACACGTCATCTACGAAATAGAAAAGGGAAAGACTTCAAAAAAAAGCTTGATTTCTCACCATCTTTGATAAGCATTTTCACGTATAAAGCATTTTCTGATGTTTGAGAGTTTTTCTAGGCATAAGAATTCAAATGTTTCGATTTTTTGAATCTCTTTTCTTTACTTACTTTGTTGGAGTGGCGTTAGGTGAGTCAAAATTCGATAATCTTTTCAACTTATCAATTTCTGTTTACAAATTGAAGCGCATCCCTTTTAGCACACTCAATTCTTTAGCTTAATGAGAGCTTTTAGGCCAATAGTGGTAAAGAAACGGTGCACTAGAAGGTGTGTGTTTGGGTGCACAGAGTACATACCGAGTGTAGAAGGCTGTTAGCTTTACACTGATTGTTTAGTTTACAGCTTTACAGCTGATTGTTTAGTTTAGAGAAGAAAAGTTAGATGGATCAAAAAGTAGATAAGTTGTCGAGTTGTTGTTGATCTGTTGATGTGCTGATCAGTTGTTGAGTTGTTGTTGATGTGCTGTTGATGTGCTGATCAGTTGCTTAGCTTCGTGTTCTCAAATGGCAAACTCAAATCGTTAACTTGAGATTGTCAGTGTAAGAATAGTACTGAAATAGTGCGCCAAAAGGTTTGTGTTTCAGCTGAGCACACGCCACGCTAGATCTAATTGCTTCTATACATAATTCAGCCTTCAGAAACTCTGATTAGCTTTGAAAAGAGTGTTTAGTACATTGTTGAAGCTTTTGTAGAACCGAAACATGGTTTTTTTTATCAAAAAGATTATATCTGAAGACCGTAATCTCGTTTGAAAGCCAATATTTAGGCGATATCGTCTTCAAACTTGATCTCAACAATCCATCATTTCTCTTATGGGGAACGGAAATTAATGTAAGTATTCAGCTGAATAACTTTTTTATTTAAATTCTAGGATTCTCTTACTATTTTCATTGAGCCTTCTAACAATGATAACATTCAAATCAATGGTCTTTTTGCAAATCTCGATAAGACGGGTTTTTTCATCAAACAAATCAGTGATGGAGAAGCTTTTCAGTAAGTGAAACTTTTTGTAATTCGATTCCCGTATTTTCCCTAATCAAAAAACCACCCTGAGCATCGCCTAAATTGGTTGAAATCTCGAGAACCGCTTGTCAAAACCTATCGATGTGAGGTCGGAAAATGTAGCTGACGATGAGATCTTGTGGGGGATTAGAGTTTAGAGCTTCTGTGAAAGCTTGGAAACCGTAAAATAGTCATCAATTCGGCTCGGCGGGGTGCACTACTACTAGAGAGCGATTTTGACCCTGGAAATGGAAAATTGGTAAAGAGATCTGGATTTGACTGTAGAATAGACTGCTTTTCAGTTTACCGTATTCTCTCTAATAGTAGTGCACCCTGAGCTTTGCCTAAATTCCTCGAAATCTCGAAAGCCACTTATCAGAACCTATCGATGTGGGATCGGAAAATGTAGCTGACGATGAAATCTAGTGGAGGATTAGAGTGTTGAGCTTCTGCAAAAGCTTAGAAACTGTAAAATAGTCACCAACTCGGCTCGGCTCGGTGCACTACTATTAGAGATAATACGGTATAATTCTAATAGATATTATAAAATCCTAGTTACAAGTATCCAATAAAGCCATTAGCTAATAAAACTGCTTTTTCATGTACCGCATTTTCTCTAATAATAGTGCACCCTGAGCGTCGCCTAAATTGGTTGAAATCTCGAAAACCGCTTATCAGAACCTATCGATGTGAAATCGGAAAATGTAGCTGACGATGAGATCTTGTTGTTGATTAGAGTTTAGAGCTTCTGTGAAAGCTTAGAAACGGTAAAATAGTCATCAACTCGGCACTATTAGAGAAAATAAGGTATTTGCTTTTGAGTCTAATTTTGATAAAAGGTTTTTGGTTTGAAAAATTTTTGATTGAAAAAGCTTGAGGAATTTTGTGGGGGAAAGGTTCTGAAAGATCTATTTCTATTATTTTATGTGAAAGGATATCCAAAAATATAGATTTTCTCAAATAAAACATTCTAAGGGCTTCAAGTATGAGACCAAGAACAAAACCATAATTGAATACGAAATTTTTTCATCATTAGGCCAGCTGACATCTCAAAACAAGGAGCTCGTGGTCTCCGCCTTCAAGGGAATCTCCAATTGAATCTCGCAAGAGGAAGCGAACAGAACTTCTATTTATCTTTCTCTATATACAAAGGTGAATCTAAAAGCAATACTGTTAAGAATTATGGGCATAATGTTAGATTGGTTTTAGATTCGCTTCTTAACGTCGGTTTCAACAATTATCTCCTCGCTGAATACTCGTATCAATTCTCTAAATACGAGTTCTCTTTTCAATCAAATTCGAGCACTTCAGCCGCGTTGACTGTTATGAATCGAGACTATATGAATGCCATTTATTATTCATGGGATCTGCAAAATGTTGTATTGGTTGGTATTTGAAAAGGTTAAACTTGAAGAGGATGGTAGGGTGAATGTTTCAACAATTATCTCCTCGCTGAATACTCGTGTCAATTCTCTAATGGCATTTTAGATTAGATCTGGCTCGGCTATCAACTAGCCAATTCAGGGCCAAAGCAAGAACTGATCTGCCTAACTTACCTAGTTTGATTTACTCCTAGATTTCCCTGTTTAAGGACTCAATACAAAGCCTATGATTAGCAAAAGCCGCACTTCTAGACAGATGGCTGTTCAATGGACATCTACGTCGGTGGTCATCCAGTCGAGACTGGTGAAATGTATTTGATCTATACACTCAGGTAACAAATACATCAGCAATTTGCAAAGGCCATCGCACTGCCTTAATGGCCGACTGGCTAAGAGCCTTGTAGTCTGACGGTCAAGGGTTCAATCCCGGCTGGAAACTTCGTTGAATCTTTTTTTTTCTTTTCCACATTTAGGGCTTAAGGGTTGTGCTTGTGTCTTGTTTTTACCACAATATTCGTTTGAATAAATGTAATGTAATAAATAATTGATCTAAAAGAAATGCTCAAAATCTAATGGAAGAATTTAGTGATATTTTAGTGCCGATCGAACAAAAGCCTTCATCCCATCATCATTTCTCTCCGGCTACTACACTTTCATCATTCCACCGAATTGTCAAGCGAGCTTTAAAGCAAATAAAACAGATTGTAAGGGAAATTTGGTATAACTTGGAAAATGGAAAGAGAAAAACTGAGATTATGGACTTTTGTGAGGCAGATTTCGACGTAAATACTTGCAAATTTCAGGCTTTTTGTTCATAGCTTGTAAATTCGCAATATGCTTCGAATTTTTATGAAAACCTCAATCACCAATGTACATTTTAGACACAAATCTCCCACAAATGCACGATGGTTCTCACGGTTTTGTTGCAAGCTGGGAGTACCCAGGCGGCACTTTTAACCGACAGTTGTTAGGATTCGCTACTGAAACGAGGCTAATCAGTAAGTTTGTTGCTTGTCTTTGTAATGTTTGAGTTTCTTATACTAAAAATGACAATGCCCACTTGCAGCAACTGATGCCTACAATCAGATGACTTATCCGATCTTTGCTGATGTAGTTGGGCTAACAGCTGGAGATCAAGGGAATCTCACCATTGGCTTTTATCAGCGCAATTCTTTGGTGACCGCTCAAACTTTGTGAGTTCATTGGTATTCATTAAAGCAAAGAAAAAAGCTAGAGGCCAGGTTATGATAGTTTTCGAAAGTTGCTACATTTTAGAAAACAGATCAATTGAAAGAATTGAAAATTGAGAATAAGATTACTGGAACTTTTCTGGAAAATTGGAAACTTTGGAACTATACAGTAACCAAATCGGAACTAAATAGGAACTATAGAGTAACCAAATAGGAACTATAAAGGATTTAAATAGGAACCATAAAGGAACTATAAAGGAACCAAATAGGAACTATACAGTAACCAAATTGAACGCAAATTCCACTTATTTCCTCCAAAACTCCAATTTAAATCTCTCCATTAACACTAATTCTTTACGATTATCAAGAAAATAGAAATTTTAGAACAACTGCTTCAAACATCTGGTACAATGAGACAAAAGTCGATGAGTTGCGGGTGAGTGTTTGGAAATCCAATTGTTGGATCCAATTCTTTAGATTCTTTATCTAAAAATTTAAATTTATAGTTTAGAATGAATGAAAAATGTCTAATCTTTCTATATTAATATTTACAATCTAAAACTTGAATCTTCAGTTAAGCTGGACACCAGGCTATGCCGGTCGAAAGGGCTTTTTGGTGCGATATCGTTTCGGCACAGATAATCCCGATATTTACTCGATCAATGAATATTCTCTTGTTTTTGATTCAAGGAGGAAAACGAAGGTAAACCTATTTTAGATGTAAAAGAACGATTTGTTTAGAAAATGAACAGAATCGAGTGTCCTGGATGTAAGATTGAAGTGAATGCTGTCTCACAGATGAATCCAGGAACGGTGTTGTTTAGTGACGCGACAACAACAGCAACGTTAGCATTTTACTTTGCCATCCACTTTACTAATCAAAACTTTCTATCTTTAAAGAATGGGCTTGACTTAAGACTGATTCTCAATAAAATCAAAAAGTTAGGTCATATAATTTTTTGGTACTTTTCGGTTATACATCCACAGAGACGCAACTCAGTTAAGCAAGAAGTTGACAACTTGTGACGGATAATTACTCGTCACAAGTTGTCAGTGCTTGTTCGGTGATGTTCAGTGAAGTAGAGTGCTCATCTGAAGTGATCAGTCGATCAGTTGAACGAAAATCGATAACCGAGAAGACTAGGATGGGGATGCTTGACCGAGATGAGTCTTTGTGGATGTATAACCGATAAGTACCATTTTTTTGAAGTTTCGAAAAGTATAAAAAAATGTGATCGGATTTTTAGGTGAAAAACCTTGCACCTCAAGTAATTTGCTTTCACAGGATCCAGAAATTAAAACAGGAATATAAATAAATGTAGGGAAAAAAATCGATCGCAATTTGACCATAGCGAAGCGGGAAACCGCCGAAAGCCGTAACCTTCTTCGTTCGCGATCCCTTACCGCTAGCGAAAAGGGAAGCCCCTTACCCCAGAGGAATTTGCCAGGTCGTGAGGGATTACGTGGCCGCACAAAGAACATCTCGCCAGTCATTATTCATTGAGGATTTTTCTTTTGCTTTGTAGATGGCTCCAAAAGAAGATATTGAGCTGTAAATTTGTACCTGGGGGTTTTCGGGGTCGGGGAATCAATTAAAGCTATTCATTTTATTCATCTTTATTCTGCAAAATGTGAAAATAGCTTTGAATAGTATTGTAGACTAGTAGAACAATGACTCTTATTCTCTAAAAACATGTGAAACACAGCTAAACCAGAAAAATCTGGCTCTCATCTGGTAATCACCAAAAAAACATTTGTGTAATTAGTTTATTCAGGCTATCCGAGCTTATCGACAAGCCATATAGTTTCAAAGATTTTGTCGCGTTCAATAACGTGGATTCTGTCAAATTTCTTGCCTCTTTCACTTCATATGATGGTAGAATTCTAAAAATTTCTTTAAAAAACGAAATTTTAGATTTAAATCGAGCATCGATGGGTTTAGATGATTACACGATTTATGAAATTGACAGCAAAAATGGACAAGGGCTTATCATAGATGCAAAACCAAATTATCGAGCTGTTACCATGTACAACTATTTGGTGCCATTTAAGATGTGGATTGGGAATGTGACAATGGTTGGTTTAAATCCATGGTTTAAATGGCTTTGTGGATTTAAAATCAGAAAATAGGCTTTTAAGGTTTCCAGCTAGATTCAAATTCGATTTCAGAGTGAAGACTGCGAAATTTCACTTTACGTTGGCGGTATTCCTCCTCAGGATTTAAACAAAGCAAAAAGTTTAGAGATTTTTCGATTCAGGTAAAGAAAATTTTGAAACTTATAAGGAAATCTATTTCATTTTTTAATTGTGATAATATTTATTTAAAGGTAAACAAACTAGAAAATTGATTAAGATTTTTTTGAAAGTTGACAAGATCAAAACAAGATCAATAACATTACTAGACAAGAATAACAAGATCAATAACATTGCTAAGGATTAGGAGACTTTATAGTTAATTTTTATAGTAAAAATTAGTAAAGATTTAAATGGAAATTAAAGTTATCCCTCAAGATTTTCAGAAGCAATGAGACTTCACAATTCTCGCGATCGGGCATCACTCCTGCAGCCTCAACTCTGATTGTCCCGCCAAAGTGCTCATTTAGAGCCGATTTTGCTCAATATATGGGTAAATAAGACTACAATTTGATACAATTTATTAACTATCAACAATTTCAGATGGTATCCCGGATCCACTAACAGTCGGAAGTAAAGGATTCATGATGAGCGGTGAATATCCAGGTGTTCAAGACTCAGAAACGATACAGCCAGTGAATGACCGATCACAGTTTGCAAGTGAGAGCATGATAAGTTAAAATGTACATTGTGTCGTAAACATACTCAATCTGGTGTACTGATGGTGAGTTCCTGAATTGGTTACAAGCAAGAATAGAGTGAGTTAGGAAAATCTGTTGAGGAATTTAAAAATCTTTTCTTTTATGAATAAATTCTATTCTATAATAGATAAATTTGATTAAATATTACTAAAATTAAATAAAAATATAACTTGAGAAAGCTTTTAAACACTTTTTAGTTACTCAATCGAACACTGGAAGCTTTTCTCTGACAATTCCGATGGCTGATCCCGGAGATGGAGGAGTTTTGAGCGTACACAATGAGAAGATGTAAGTTAAAAAGTAGAGATAGAAAACAAATGAGATTCTCTTTTTCCTAAGAACTTTTTTCTAAAACAATCTTAATCGAAATTAGGACTTACGAAATTAGGATGAGGGGTAAATGTCCGGGTGTTCAATGCTCGGAAACGATACAGCTAGTTCAGAGTTTGCAAGTGGGAGCATGATAGGTTATTCAAAATGTACTTACTACAAACATACTCAATCTGATGCACTGATGTTTCAATCTGAAGCAGTGAGTTCCTTATTGATCTCATCTGAAGCAGTGAGTTCCTTATTGATCTCATCTGATGCAGTGAGTTCCTTATTTGGTTCTGCTACAAGAACAAGCAAGAATAGAGTGAGCGAAGAAAGACTGTGTTATCAACTTTTTTGAGAAACTAGTGAATAAATCTGTTAGAATTTTAGCACATCTACCGTCCTGAATAAAGCGATGTCCTTCAGTGACTCCAGCTTTGAGGTTTGGAGAAAGATTTTATTGTCTTGAGTGTAGTATTTGTATTCAAAAAAGATCTGATATTAAAGATTATTTTAACACAATGTTATTTGATCTTAACTTTCAGGTTATTTGGAATCCGAGTCAAAAATCTCGGCATGGTTTCCTAATTCTCTACGAAGTCCTCGATGTGACAAAGTCCGGGTTTTTCAAAAGTTTCTCACCTTTTCTGATGGCAATTTTCCTTGTCCTTGAGCTTTACTAGATCAAATTTTATTTAAAGCTCATCATTCTGTGATCTCCTTTGCTTTCCCTATTGTTTATTTTGCGTGGCTACTCAAATAAAGTTACTCAATGCTTTGAGTTGCTCAAGAACGATTCAGCTTCCAAAAATTCTTATATTGTTATAAATTCCTAGTGTTACTGCCACCTCTTCTGGGTCAACTATTTCACTTGGATCAACAATTTCATCACCGACTGTGACAACAACGACATCTCCGACAACATCCTTGAGCACTGCCACTGCACCCACTTCATCAGCTTCAACCGCTGGAAGCCAATCCACCACCACAAAATCATCTAATATCAAAAGTATTCTTTTCCCATTGATTTCTTTCTTGGTGCTTTTTACTCGATGTTAACACGATAAAGTTTTTGCTTTGACTTGTGCTTTTTCAAGTTAGAAGAGAGCAAAGTTAAAGTTTTCAGTATCACAGCTGAACTATGAGAAGCTGATGGTCAAGTCATGAATTCATTTGAATTAGGTGGATTTTCGATTTAATCTTAAGCAAGCTTAAGCGAGCTTAAAAGTTTGTACCTTTAAGTCCAAAAGGATAAGAAGAAAATGATTGTGAAGAGTTTTCTCAAAAATAGCAAATCTAACATACCGTAAATACTGTAAGAGTACCGCCCTCGTACAGTCGCGTAGTCGCAAAAACTTTTTAGGATTTAATTTTTTTCAAAGCGCCCGTACTTTCAAAAAACGCGTCTTTAGTATAAAAAAATAGCTGAAATTCAGGGCTATTTTTTGATACATAAACGCGCATTGTAGCATAAACCAGTGTCGAGAAAAACGCGTCCAAAGCTAGACTACGCAACACTCCGCACCGTCATTATGAGGGTGGGGTACTATTACAGTATTTACGGTATGTAAATTTTGTGATAAGATTAGAACGAACTAAATGATTAGTAGCTATCATAGATATCAATAATTAGATAAAAAATAACCATTGCTATTTTGAGCTTTAGTTTGATAAAGCTTCATCACTCAGCCAGTGCAAATGTAAGCATGTTTTTTTTGGTCAAATTTCCCCACTTTTTAATCAATTTCAATTGATTTTTAAGCAAATTCAAAGAAATCTTTCTATTGTTTCTTGATTTTTACAAATTTTTATCCAATTTTCACGTCACAAGAGATCATTTGAAAAGTTTTAATATCAAAAAAAGAAAAAATGAAAGAAATTTCAGCGACGATTGTGGAAAAAAAAAGAAAAACTTTTAGGAAAATCGAGGTATTGGAACTTCAGACGAGAATTTAATTTAAAAAAAATTGAAAAATCCCAATTCTAAAACTCGAAAAACCGCATAAAGTAGCAAGAAATGATTGAAAAATTTAGAAAACTAGAAAAAGAAAACTATTTTGCTTTGTAGGCAGCCATTTCCTTCTCGTAACGCTTGCGATCCTCAGCGGCTAGCTTCTCCCATTTCTTAAATTCAAAAAATTAACTCAATTTTGAACAGTACAAAGTGTTCTATAAGTTTAAGTTTATTTACAAGATCTATTGTAGAGTTGCTTAAGGTTTTAGGATTCAGTTAGGCTTTAGAAATTGTTGAAACTCATTTATAGCATTGTTATTTCTCTTTTCAGCGCTATAACTGTAGGAGTTAGCTCTAAAGTTAGCTCTAAAGCTAGCTCTAAAGTTAGCTCTAAAGTTAGCTCTATGTTAGCTCTAAAGTTAGTTCTAAAGTTAGTTTCAAAGTCATAACATTTATATTTCTTTGTTTTTCATAATTTCTTTAGTCACAAATCATGAAAATCCTTATCCTTAATCGCAAAGAATGAGATATTTTAAACTAAAGGCTTTAAATTAAGTAAATTCAAGTATTTTAGCGTCAATAGCATCTTGAGGAGAATATTTTCGACTTCAACTAACTCTTATTTTCTAATAATTTTACAAAACAAGTCTTCTAGCATTTTTTAGCCTATCAAAAAGAGAAGAAAGTTGTGAGAAAACTAAAGAAAAAACTCAAGAAAATCCCACTGATTTACTAATCATAAATCTTAGAGGGTCATAGACTTAGAGCTTCGAAATCCATTCAAAGTTAATCAATGTTACTCAGTCGGAAACCTTCGACTTGAAATATTGCTCTGTATTTCCCCTTGCTTTTCTGAAAATAAATTAGAAATCTATTCAAATCTGAAAGCTTTGAAATCTGTTCAAATTTCCTCACCGATTTGTCGGTGATTTTCCCCCAGTCAACTCCAGCAATTTTCCCGATTTGTCCAACCGACACTCCGGGATTCTCCTTCTTTATACGCTGTCGATTCTCGTGCAACCAATGGAAGAAAGCCGATTGGCCACGTTTTGGCATGTTTGGATCCTGGTATTAACGTTTTGTTTGAAATTTATTTTTTCATCCATTTCATCAATAGTACAAATCTCAAAACAACAAAGTTGTGATTCTTTTTGGAATAAGCTAGAGCTGCTTTAAGCTAATATATAATAGTAAGATAAATATTTGACTTTTTAAACTTTTCCTTCAATCCTTTACCTTTTTAACCTTCTTGATCGTCGCTGGTTCTCCATCATCTTTGCGTGGCCGACGTGGCATGATTGATCTGCTAAATTCACTTTACTATTTCAAAGTGAACTTTAGCAAAAATTAATGTACTGAAAATGAGAAAGTGAAAGAAAGATAAGCGGGAATCAATGGAAGGAATGGGAGCTGAGTGGAACCGTGTGGGGAAGGGGAAATGCTGTTCAAAGAGGAAAGAGGCAGTCAAGGGGAGAAGGCCACTTTGTGAGTTTGTGGAGCCTTGTGAAGCCAATTCTTTCACTTTAATGATATTGTCTCGCTTGCTGATCTTGAAATCCAGTTTGCTAGCTCAAATGTAATCGTGAATTTTTCTATTAAGCCTTTAAATGGTTGAAAGAAGTAAACATCAAAACTTAACATTTAGTGTTTTATCTTTTAACTATTGACACACAGAGAGGTTTCTTTAGCTCAAGTGTCCGCATCATCAAGCCTTCACCCTTTTTGACTACCCAACTTGACGCTTTCAAAAAATCCAGACATAAGACAAAGAAATAAATGTTTTTACTTACGTTCTCCGTTTTTTCGGCGTCTTTCTCGTGCTTCTCAGCTCAATTCTCGGCCTTGGGAAAGGCCTCTTGCACAGATTCAACCTAGAAGAAAAAATTACGGCCTATTCTAGAAATTGGACTATTCTATCGTAAATTATTGAATCTAAAATCGTTCGACACAAAATAAACTAACAAAACCCTTGCCACATACACAATTTCATTTTGAGTCTTATGCCTTATGAATTTTGAGCCATGAAAGAGCACTGCAAGGTGCAGAGAAGTCGAGTCTTACAGTTTTAAAGTATGTAGTCAAAGTTTTCAGCCAGTTTTGTACAATCTTTTGAACTAAGTATAGTGGTTTTAAAATCCAAGCTCATTTTGGACCAATTATTCTTGGATTCTTCAGCGAGCTTAAACTCTGATTGTCTAAATCTCCTCCTCTCTCTCATCACAGCCTAAGTTTGGATTTTGGCGCCGAAACGCTGACCCTAATTTTGGTTAGCTGCCAAAACTGATTCAGAATTATTTAAAAATCAATACCTTACGGATCTTTAAGATGTTTTGAAAGGTTTAACTGGACAGATATATTGGTTTTGTTTCTTTTGTGGCCCTAAAGAGGGCCGTTGGGTTTGGGGTTTTTGTTGGTTGTTCAACAGCAACGGGAGTTTATTCCTTGTCTCCGGCGGTCTTCTTTGGCAGAAGAACGGCTTGGATGTTTGGAAGAACTCCTCCTTGAGCGATGGTGACTCCGGACAACAATTTGTTCAACTCCTCGTCGTTTCTGACGGCCAATTGGAGATGGCGGGGGTTGATTCTGGTCTTCTTGTTGTCACGAGCGGCATTACCGGCCAACTCCAACACCTCAGCAGCGAGGTATTCGAGCACGGCGGCAAGGTAGACTGGGGCTCCAGCTCCGACACGTTGAGCATAGTGACCCTTGCGGAGGAGACGGTGAAGACGACCAACGGGGAATTGAAGTCCGGCACGAACCGAGCGGGATTTCGCTTTGCCTCCGGTCTTGGCTTTGCCTCCTTTACCACGTCCAGACATTGTTGAGAGAGTTGAAGAGAGATTGGTGACTGAGAACTGTCGATGGATTTTTTGGGGAATGGCAGGGTTTATAAGGGTTTTGGAGTGAATGGGCGGGATCAAGATAAGAGAAAAGGGAAAGAGGGAAATTGTAGAGGATTGGGATATCCCCAGGGTCAGCCTTCAGCATCATTCGTAACTCCGCCCCTCCACCCAATCTCTCATATAAGAGCCCCTCCAAACCCCAATCTTCATCTTGTGTTCGACAACCCAAGCCAACTCTCAACTTCATCATGCCGCCAAAGCCATCCGCCAAGGGAGCCAAGAAGGCCGCCAAGACCCAGAAGACCCCTCGTTCGGGAGACAAGAAGAGAAGAAAGTCGAGAAAGGAGTCCTACTCGGTCTACATCTACCGTGTCCTCAAGCAAGTCCACCCCGACACCGGTGTCTCCTCCAAAGCCATGTCAATCATGAACTCCTTCGTGAATGACGTCTTTGAGCGCATCGGTGCCGAGGCTTCTCGTCTCGCTCACTACAACAAACGGTCAACGATCTCATCCCGTGAAATCCAGACCGCTGTCCGTCTCATCTTGCCTGGAGAGCTCGCCAAGCACGCCGTCTCTGAGGGTACCAAGGCTGTCACCAAGTACACCTCATCCAAATAAATCTTCTAGAGATTTAGATGGAAACAAAACCCCAACCCAACGGCCCTCTTTAGGGCCACAAATGAATTTGAACTCAAAAGTATGAAACCAATAGTGAATATAGATTATTTCAAGACAAACAATGTGAATAAGTTGCTTAAACAAATTGTAAATGCTAGATTTTCTAAAGTACTGTAGAATGTCTTAGAAATGAGGTTTAAATACAAATTGATCGTACCAAAACGGGCGTTATGAATGAAGTTTCTTAGATATAAAGTTTTTTCACTTAGAGAAATTTATTAGTAAATTCTCCTGGTTCGTTTTGAACTTTCGGAAAACTTCTTGGTCCCGATTTGATCCAGTTTACATAACATTTTTCGACAACAATTGTGACTTTAAAGGGGCAAAACTTAAAGCCCCTTTAAAGTTACAATTTTGGCTTTCGATTTTTACACATTTTGGGGAAAGCCTTTTTTAGCATCCTGACCGGGTTGAAACACTCGTCGACTAATTCTCTCATTCATTCACTTTCTCTTTCTCAATGACCCCGTTTTGGAGGGAAATTTGGCGCCGAAACACCTGGAGTAATGCCAATGGCTTGTAAACAAATGGGATTAGATCAAGAAAATTAATCAAAGGGTGCCTAGAGGCAATGCAAATCAATGATGACAGGATCTGGATAGCCTAGAGAAGCGATTGGGTTATGAAAAGACTCAAGTGATTCGAATGGCTTGGATTTAAATGAAAAGAATTAGAAAATAAACTTATTTCAAAGTATCTATGAAAAGTGATGCAGCAGCTAAGAATTTAAAGTTGTATTGGGTAATTGCTGTTAGTGAGTAAATGATTAGACGGTTCTTCTTAAATCAGTCTCTGTTTTCAAGCCAGTTTCTCTTAAAATTGTAAACGAATTACACGGAGTGTTGTAGTCTTGTGTGTTTTTAAAGATTTTAAAGATGTGTATTTTTAAACTATTGTGTTAGATGCACAATTTATCTAATCACGAAACGAGAGGTCAAAACAAAACAAAAATGAATTGCGAAGCGAAAAGAACGACTACACTACACTACGATTGGCGTTGGCTTAAACACAAGATATTCAGTCAAAATAGTTAGTGCTATTTGAAAATAAAAAAGGGATCTTCCTTTTGGGAATCTATTCGCAAACAATAACTATTCCCAACACGGAGTTCGCTCCGAAGTGCATTTAGTTTCTTGTAAAACTTTGAATTTCAGAATATAGATTTGGCCGAACTCTTTATAGTTAGAGTCTTGTTCATGATTTCATTTTAAAATTCTTTCATTTGTGGCCCTAAAGAGGGCCGTTGGGTTTGGGGTTTTCTGGTGTTCAGCGAGACACACTTAAGCACGCTCTCCACGGATGCGGCGGGCGAGTTGGATGTCCTTTGGCATGATGGTGACACGCTTGGCGTGGATGGCACAGAGGTTGGTGTCCTCGAAGAGACCGACGAGGTAAGCCTCTGAAGCCTCTTGAAGAGCCATCACAGCCGACGATTGGAAGCGGAGGTCGGTCTTGAAGTCTTGAGCGATCTCACGGACAAGTCGCTGGAAGGGCAACTTGCGGATGAGAAGCTCGGTGGACTTCTGGTACCGACGGATCTCACGAAGAGCCACAGTTCCCGGACGGTAACGGTGGGGCTTCTTGACTCCTCCGGTGGCTGGGGCCGATTTGCGGGCAGCCTTGGTGGCCAATTGTTTGCGGGGAGCCTTTCCTCCAGTCGATTTGCGAGCGGTTTGCTTGGTGCGAGCCATTGTGGTTCAGATGCGATACACTGATGGTTACTGACGGAAAGAGGGGGTCTTATAAAGGGATTGGGGGTGATGGGCGGGACTGCTAGGGAGAGCGATAAGCAGGCAGAACAGCAAGAACAGTCTGGAGTGAATGGGCGGGGCTACTTCAACCCGATTAGATTCTCATTTCCCTTACCAAGCATCCCTACTCGAGTCCCACCCCTTTCCCCTATAAATACCCCATTCAATCCACTCATTTCCCATCTCATCACTGAGCAACTGAACAATGTCTGGACGTGGAAAGGGAGGCAAAGGACTCGGCAAAGGAGGGGCCAAGCGTCATCGCAAAGTTCTCCGCGATAACATCCAAGGAATCACGAAGCCGGCTATCCGCCGTTTGGCCCGTCGTGGTGGTGTGAAGCGTATCTCTGGATTGATCTACGAGGAAACCCGTGGAGTTCTCAAGGTGTTCTTGGAGAATGTGATCCGTGATGCCGTCACCTATTGTGAGCACGCCAAGAGAAAGACTGTCACCGCCATGGATGTCGTCTATGCCTTGAAGCGTCAAGGACGTACCTTGTACGGATTCGGTGGATAAGAAATCACGAGAAGCAATTCTCAAAACAAAACCCCAACCCAACGGCCCTCTTTAGGGCCACAAATGAACCAAACAAAAATTAGATTGCTTTGCAAAAAACTATTATGATAAAGATTTGTTTTTGTAGTGGAAGATTAATCAAACTGCATCAAACTCCAGCAAGACTTTAAGTTCACATCAACTAAATAAGAAAGGTACATCTTGGACGCCTCGTAGGAGTTACTCAATGATCAGAATTTCAATTCTAAAGTCAACTCGATCTCCTGCATCCTGCAATCCTGCAATCTCACTCAAGAATGTCTGGACGTGGTAAAGGAGGCAAAGCCAAGACCGGAGGCAAAGCGAAATCCCGCGAAATCCCTGCAATAAAGTCATCCGGTAAGACTGACAATGAACATCAATTCTGCTTCTAAAATACAGTATCCAGAGCATTTGTTCCCATTTTCGTGGGTAAAATTCTAACTTATTCCAATTCTAAAGTGTAGTAAACTAGCAGCAAGTATTA